ATATTTATATATTTACGCGTATCTATTTACATTTATTTATGTACAAGTCTACAAAATCTTATTACTTATAAAGCGATTTTTAATCTTCGTTGCTTAACACACATTTTTTCAATTACTTCTTGTGTTGTAATCGGCACATCATTATGTACCGGTAACATCGTTAAACCATTCAGCCGCTCCTTAATTGTATAAAAAGAAGGGACAAATAAGATAGCATATTCAACAATTGAGTAGTCCACTTGCAAAGTGCGCTATGTAAATTTTTCTTAGATTTTTAGTTTTTGGTGGGTTTCATGTCCACTAACAGCAGAGCGAAAAATTTTTCTATATTCTGAAAAAATTAGCCATGTTCTGACCGACAACGAAAACACTTTGAAAACGAGTTTTAGGAATATGGCCACGACCATCAATAGTTCTCCAGCTCTATATCCCACTGAATTGTTTTTAAGAAATTTTCTTGGTAAAATTTATTCCGTATAATTTTTTTTCTATACTCTTCGCATTTCCAACTGTATATGAAATTCTACGAGGTGATGTAATAGGAAGACATTTTCTAACTATCGTATTTAAATTTTTGGCTCTTAACTTTTCTACGTAATTGATTTTCTTTTACAAACTCGATATAGCCGGAATACGGGATTAAGTAAGGCAACTGCTATGAAAACTGTCGTTCTAATAGTGCATTGTAGACGCTTGCCCCGCCCGACTTTAAATATACATGGTTGTATATAAGCGCTTAGATACATAAGTTGATAACTCTTGAGTGATACTTAAGTTATAAAAATTTATTTATTCCTTTTTTATTTTTTGTTTGTGTTTTACTTTTTGAAGTTGGTTTTGTTTTTGTAAAAAAAAATTTGTTTTGTATTTTCACTTCCTAAATTATTAACTTTTATTATCCGGAGATATAAGTTATCTTATCGATATGAGTAGCTATCGATACCTTAGACCCGATATTTTTCAGGTATCGATACTTTTTTTCGATACTACTTCCAAGTAAAAGTATAAATACAGGAGATTCTTCGTTTTGTACTTGTTCGCCACCAGACCCATTCGCTTTGCTTTTCTATCTAATGCCGAGAAGGCAGAACAGACGAAGCCCTTGTTTTTACCGATAATGTCGATGTCGTCGGCATACGCCAGCGTTTTTACGCCTGAGCGGTTCAGTTCTGCGGCTATTATTATCTTCTCCATCATCAGATTAAAGAAATCACATGAAAGGGAGTCGCCCTGCCTAAAACCCCGTTTGGCAGCAAACGGCTCGGAGTGGTCTTTCCCAATTCTGATGGAGCTGGTGATTTTGCTCAACGCCATTTTACACAGCCATATCAGTTTCGCCGGGATGCCAAATTCAGACGCGCGCGGCGGTTTTTCATCCGCATAAGCGCTATTCATACGTCGTCATAGTCAGGCGGCGGGACATCGACTCCATTGTCATCGACTGGGGGCTCGGGTTCAGTGCTGCTGCCATTCAATTGGGTGAAAATGTAGGTTCTTGACATCGGTTACTAGGTTGCCATGGTTGTGCTGTGTGTGTAAAGGGCAAGTTCGCCCTTTATCTTATTTGGTCATAAAAAGGTACATTGGAGACTATCAACTCTCAAAGAATAAAATGTTTTTTCTCATATTAGTTTTCATACTTGAGTAATTGTTAATGTATAATTACATAAGTATAAGTATATATACATACATACCTACATATATGGCGATAATTTTAATATCTTTGTTTTGATAGAAACGTATTCTACTCTTTACAATTGCAGAAAACATTGGAAAAATAACACCTGTTCACAAAGGAAATATTAGTAGTTAAAGAGCGGGAAAAATGTGAAAGGTACTTACAAGTGGTACTTATTGGTGGAATTAAAAAAAAACAAGAAGTTGATCCGACTACATACAATAATAAATTAAATTAATTCGAAATGAATGACAGTTTACGGTTCTGATTGCAATGCTTTCCACTGATAGCAATGAATCACAGCAACTACTACAACTATTTATGTACATTATAATGTCCACTGTCAATGAACGTGTTCGTTACAATACTAACAGAAATAGAGACATATCCTAGATACGTGTCGCTAACTTTCTTCAAATCAACAACAGATTATACGCAAGGACACATCTTAAATTAATTTTCATTTAAACTCAGCTAACCGCACCATTAGCGCTCATTCAAGCGCGACTTCATTGATTGGCAAGTTTGTTTGTTGGGTGTCCGAAGCGAGATGCACGTGGCTTGAAAGCAATAATCCCCGCTGAAATACCTTAACAAGTTGTATATAAATACTCATATATTGGTGCCACTACTGCAAAAAGAACAACAGTACATAAAAACATACAAACGTACATGAAAAATAAAGAAACAGTGTATAAAATCCAGAAAAACACAAAAATGTGAAAACAGTCGAGGTAAAAATAGCACTTATAACAAAAAAATGTATAAAACATACCGACAGCAGGAGCAGCAATAAAGTGAATGTGTTTATTCAGCAGTCTGTACCTTAATTGAGGCTGATCCCGCGCAATCAACCGCAAATGGTTGATCAAAAAAGCCAAAACAAGTTAAGAACATTTAATTAAAAATTTCGAAGCCTATTTTGTACCAGCACAAAGGAAACAAAAGCAATGCTTGTGTTGGTATCACAAATGAGTCAATAAACAAACACAAAGGCAAAGGCTCTTTCATCTGCTAAGTAACAAACTATTCGAATACCTGTCTAAACAACAATGTGTTACATACATCTTCTATATATTTGCACGCATATAAGCGTATGTATATGTAGTTTACTATATTAATGTGCATACTTGTCGATGCTCCATATTCCTCAACGCTTTTCCCTCTATCAATAAGGCACCGCATTGAGCATCCTTGTTTGAAATTTCTGAACGTCAATCATCATGGGTAGCCTACCGAATTTGCACGAGTTGGAGGAAATAGAGCGCAGACGTGAGAAACGCCGTGAACGCGAGCAGCGTGAGCAACTGCGAGAGCAGCGGGCACGTGATTCGAGTCGTGAACGTGAGCGGATGGCCCTATTCGCACAGCGCAAGGTTAGTATTTACTTAGGAGGTGTTGGGGTCAGTGTTTCAATGTAAGGTTAAATATTTGCTAATTTCTTTTTCTGTAGTAGGTTAATTAAACTCAATTTTCAATTGAGACTAACTTTTTCATTTTATGCTTCGATCAGATCATGGTAAAAAGCAACAGAAATAAATTTGGATTCCTGCGTTAAATTAAAACTAAATAGTGAATCTGTATTGCTTTAAAACACCAAAAACTTTGCTCCAAAAGTTGCACACTAGAGGAGAAGTTTTAAAAAATTGCGAAAATTGTTTTTACATCCCACCAATTTATACTGCATTCTAAATATTAGTAAATTATTAATTTTTGAAGGGCAAATGTAAAAAGGTAAATATGTAGACGAATATGAAAAGAATAAACATAACGGCAAAGATAAAGATTAATATAAGGAAAAATATGAGGATGAGGATAACGATAAAAGTAAAGATAAAGATAACTTTGAGTAATTGTAAAGAAGAATATATACATAGTATCAGTGGCGGAAGTCAAAGATTAATATTTCATTAATATGGGTCTAGAAAAAAGGCTCTTTAGAAGAAAGTATGCGTAATAAAGTTTCAAACACGAATTTTTAAAATCATATATTCAATTTTTCGCTTTATTTATAAAACATTTTGATAATTTTAAACACATTAAATTTTTCTTTTTTACTTATAAATCAATGAAACGAAGAATTTTCAAATTTTTCGTGGTTTTTTGAAAAATTCTTCTAGAACCTCGTCAACTGAAAAATTTATATCTTTGTGAATATTCATAGATGCTAGACTGTTGAGTCTTTCTTGACATGTTGTATTTCTCAAGTAGGTTTTAATTATTTTCAGGCATGAAAAGCTTCGTTCAGGTGTGGCTATTGAAACGGACAAAAGTGCCAATATACGTAAGATCTTAAAAACATTCCCAAAAGACGTTGTATTTGCTACTTGTAATGCTTCGAGAGCATTTCGAAAATGTTCGTGTGAAACTCGTTTTTCCAACATTTTTAACTCCAGAAGAAAGTTTTGTTTCGAGCAGTCGATTACTTTTTCATAGAGAGCTAACAATTCTTCAGTTTTTTTTTCGTTAAAATCATACTTTGGAAACAAAACACTAAAATTATTTAAAACTGATTTATGGTTTAGGAACCGGCTTTTCAAATGAGCAATGTATGTATCAAGGAAGGGAATGTAAAAAGCAATGCGATAGTATGCCTCGGCGTCTCCGGTTTTCACATTAAAGCGATTCTTTTGGCGACTGCTGTATCGCGGTACTTTGATTTCTGTACCTAGGTTGGTGCATACTTCTTCTACATGTTCGAAAAGCAAATGACAGCTTTTTCTGCATCTTGTCGCATTTCTTCAAATTCATTTAAAGCGTCATCGGCTAAGCTCATTGCTTCTGCAAGAACTTCATCAGGTACTTGTAATTGCCGGCTAGCAAAGCAACAACAATTTATAAAAAACCAAATGCTTGGCTGTTGTCGCTGTGCTAACAGTTTTTCAAACCCTGAAAATTTCTATAGGTATTAGCACGATACAAATAATTTTTACGGTATTTTCCCCGTGACAAATAAACAGTTTTTGACAATTGGAAGAAATACAACTTCGAAAGTCTTTTTTAAACGATTTTTCATTTTGCTACGTTAGAGCCGTTGCCGAGAAACTTATGGATACATATACATATACACAAAAATTGCTCGTTTAAGGTAATTAGAATAAGGGGCAAAATTTCATGCAAGATCAGGATAAAGGAGGGAATAAAGATTAAAAAAAAAAAACAGATTAAGATAAAAGTAATTATAACGAAAAGGGGAGAGGTAGGGATAAGAGGTAGGGCTCTTCAGGATTTGCACAATGGTCTTAGATTTGAATTTGGGTTTGCAATTTTTATACTTGCTACCATGGCAACAGTTTGAATTTTGGTGCAAACTTCAGATGAATATTTAACTCATATCATTTCCAGTTTAAGCGAAACCTTTTTCAATTAAATGAAACGGTTTTCAGGTTAAGCGAAACTTTTTTCAAATTAAATGAAACCTTTTTCATATTATCGGACAATAACCACGCCCACATCCCATATAACGGTAATTTAGAGAAATACGAGATTTTCGATAAATCAGTAAATACCGAAGCTAATTTATTTAAAATTGATGTTTGCAATAATTCTTTATCACAAAATACGTCTATGATAAAATTTTAGAAAAAGGGCGTGGCACCGCCCACTTATGAACTCATATATGTATCTCGGTAACCGTTCGACCAATATGTGCCAAACTCGGAATGATTATTGTGCTTGCCACATAAAAGCAAAACGCTGAAAATTATTGAAATCGGACTAAAATTATGCCCACTTTTTATATCACGGTAAATTTCAGAAATGCTTGGAACTTCGATATTTCGAAATTTAAGGACGCTAGTTTACACAAAATTGGTACTAACCACAATCTTTTGAAAAGAAGTAACATTATTATGGAATTTTGGAAAAGGGCCGTGATACCGCCCACATAAGTTGCGCCGGGTATATAATGTTCGGCTTCGCCCGAACTTAGACTTTTTACTTGTTAGTTATGGATAATGCAAGAATCCATAAAACACAAGAAATAAGAGATATGTTTTAAAATTCCTTTAATGGTTAAATAAACGCGGATGTTTGCGGATTTATCCGAATGAAACTTAAACACGTCTTATGCTTTCTAGCTCTGTCCCGGAAGTGCCCGGCCATCTTTCTTTTATTCACTATCAGGCTTGCCAACAATAATGGATGCTTACTAAAATTTTTTCCAGCATGCTCTCCTATGTTAAAGCTCATAGGGTCATTTTCATCATCTCTGGTTAACACTAATCCCCAGTTAAGCATCGTTACCGACGTTACCGACACAATGTTATATGCATGGAGTCATAAACGTTTGTAACGATGTTTAACTGAGGATTAGTGTTAACCAGACATGGTGAAAACGGCCCATAGAAAAGGCATTTCCGAAGTTAAAACTCCATGCCCGATCATTGCTAAGGGCCGTTTTCACCAACTCAAGTTAACCCCCAGTTAAACATCGTTACTTACCTACATCACTGACTTCATGCTTCAGTGCTGGAAAAGTGGGCACAATAGTGCCATTTTTGCACTTTCATTCTTATAAGCACTTTTAACAAAATTCAATCATAAATTATAGAAACTTAGCATAATATGCCAATGCAAAACAAAAAATTATATATTACATTATAGATTAAAAAATTACAAAAAGTTAAAATTAAAAGCAATAAAAAATTAAAATAAGTGCCGTGAGAAATATTGTGTGGCAGCTCTTGACAAAACGCTGAATTCTATTGTGAATACGCAGCACAAAAATTAAGTTTTCGCAACAACAAACTTTCAATTCCGAATTTTCAGATAGATTCTAAGTTTGCTTTTGTTTGCTAACGGTATATTTTCATCCGTTTTGAACACGCTTCATATGGAAAAAATACTTAAAATTGTAAACTTGAAATCTCTATAAAAATTCCGAATGAAAAGTTTGTTGTTGCGAAAACCTGCTGAATTTTTATCATTTTTGTACAAAGTTTGAAATTTCGATTTGGGTACATACATATATGGCAGGGGTAGGCAAGGCCGATGCCGAAAAGAGACACATGTAAGTTCTAAATGCTACAAAGAGCCACAAAAAAAGAACAAGAAAATCAAAAATTTTATTTTTAAATAAAATTATTAGAAATGGAAAGCATTAATTTTATTATTATTCTATTGTACGTAAGATATGTAGATAATAAAGAAAATTCAAAAGATCCCTTCGGCGAAATTTTCACAATCTGGTTTTACGTCAGTTAAAGCCGTTCGTAACAGTTCTGTTAAATGTTGGTTAGACAATAAGTACGCTCGTTTAAAATCTCCAGTACAAAATGTCCAATAGCGAAATTCCGGCGAAATGTCTTCGATTCTCTCACAAGAGAAAATATCCCAAGTAGTACGCGAACAGAAAATTTGCAGAAACTTGCAAGTTAGACGAACAGCTGATAGAAATATTGTTTACATTCAAGAAAAATCGAAAACGTAAGAAAAAAAAAATCCCAAAGTCTTATCCTGACACAGTTCACTGTCTAAACGAATAATAACTTACTTCTTACAAGGTTAATTAGTCGCATTTTACTATTTTTAATTTCCAAACCATCAAATTCAGGTTAGGGATTTGCGTAAATTCCAACCAGCTGTTTTTGATCATCTGTTTTCTTGTTGGCAAATTGCTGTTGGCAAAAATTTTTCCAGCAGAAACTAGCAGATTTCCTTCAAATGAAGTGTCGTTTTGCTCTCTCAATTTCCAATACTTTGCAAGTTTTTTGCGTACGCGAACACAAAAAGCTGATAATTTTTATAACTTTCAATAAATAACAGGCCGCGGATGCAACTAATTATATTTTTACTTTACGAATTTCATTGTGGAGTACTAAGATTAACAGATATACGTTGTACCAAAAATTGAAAATATACAACGCGCTGCTGTTTTCAACAGCGGATATTTTAAAGCTGGTACTTGTTGCCGGAATTTAAGCAATCGCAAAGCTTTATGTGGTGGTATATGGCGCAGAAGCATGGACAATGACAACATCCGATGAGGCGGCTCTGGGAGTGTTTGAGAGAAAGATTTTGCGGAAGATTTACGGGCCTTTACAAAAAATCATAACCGAACCACTTTTTGCCAAGTTTTAACGTATTATTTTTGTTGTTATTGAACTTTTGTTATTTGTTTTTAATAAAAATATAGTTCATTCTTTAAAAAAACCCGTGTAAATCCATGTTTCCAAATTTGAGTAGTCCACTTGCAAAGGCGCTATGTAAAGTTTTTTCGATTTTTAGCTTTTGGTGAGTAACGTACCAGTATTTAAAGTAGTTTCATGCCCACTAACAATACAGTGCAAAATCTTTCTATTTTCTGAAAACATAGCATCAAATGTTAAATACTATTGCAAAAGTCGCTATAATACTTATTTATACACTTTCAAAA